GGGGTTCCATCATAAACAATGTAGTAATGTCTATGCTTGCTTAGCAAAAAAGGGCGGCATGGAAGATGATGAGATTCATGAGAACTCCCATATAGTTTCTCAACCCAACAGGCCGATGGATCTTCCAATGTCCTTTCCATTGAGTCCAACATGTTAAATTGTGTCTGTTTAGTTGTCTATTGATGTTAGCATACTTGTAAGTTTGTATGATGGAAAATTATGCATGCCGGATCTTCCAATGCCCTGTCCATTGAGTCCAACATGTTAAATTGTGTTCGTTTAGTTGTCTATTGATGTTACCATACTTGTAAGTTTGTATGATGGAAAATTATGCATGTCAAACTATGAACTAAAACTGTAAGGCTAAGAGATCCTATCTCCATTGGGAATTTTAAAAAGAAGTTATAATTTGCTTGTTACATGTGATCGGGCCATTTATTTTCAGTCCCAGGCCAATTGTAGTATTTTCTTCCTACCAGCTATTGCTACATTTGACCTTTGAGTACTTTACTTCTTGTTTGTATTTTTTGAATTTAGTTTTGTTCTCCGGTCGCCAGCACTCGACGAATTAGGCGAACTGGAGGTGGAGGTAGTGGCTTATGGCATCAGCGACCAAGAGTCCAAGTGCACCAGCAATTTACTTCAGAGACCGCTAGCTTCACAAATGTGTTTAAGCCATTTGCAAGGGATCGGGATATGGTGATTTGAGGAGAGTTGTGTCTTTTATGTGAATATATAATGGCTTTCTTATATACATAATTAAGCGGTTTATCCTAAGCTTTTTGTGTCTGTCTGACCGTCTGTGTTACCTGGGAGCGCGGAGGACGAATAGTTGTGTAGTAGAACCATATTTTATCTTTGAGCTATGTTGATCTTGGGGAACGTAGCATGCAATTTCAAAAAAATTCCTACGATCACGCAAGATCTATCTAGGAGATGCATAGCAACGAGAGGGGGAGAGTGTGCCCACATACCCTCGTAGACCGAAAGCGGAAAAGTTAGTTTAACGTGGTTGATGTAGTCGAACATCTTCTCGATTCAACCGATCAAGTACCGAACGTACGACACCTCCGAGTTCTGCACACGTTCAGCTCGATGACGTCCCTCGAACTCTTGATCCAGCAAAGTGTTGAGGGAGAGTTACGTCAGCACGACGGTGTGGTAACGGTGATGGTGAAGTGATCCGCGCGCAGGGCTTCGCCTAAGCACTACGACAATATGACCGGAGGAGTAAACGGTAGAAGGGGGCACCGCACACAGCTAAGAACAATTCATGTGTCTTAGAGGTGCCACCGCCCCCGTATATAAAGGAGGGAGAGGGGAGGAGGCCAGCCTAGGGGTGTGCTAACTGGGAGGAGTCCCACTTGGACTCCTAGTCCAATTCGCCCCCCTTCCTTTTATTAGAGAGGGAAAGGGGGAAGGAAAGGGAGAAGGAGAAGGAAAGGGGGGATGCGCCCCCTCCCCTAGTCCAATTCGGACTCCTCCCTTGGGGGGGGGGACCATTGTGGGCTGCCTTGCCTCCCTCATATGGCCCATATCTTCCCCGGGGGGTTCCGGTAACCCCCATGGTACTCCGATACGTACCCGATACATTCTGAAACACTTCCAGTGTCCGAATACTATCATTAAATATATCAATCTTTACCTCTAGACCATTTCGAGACTCCTCGTCATGTCCGTGATCTCATCCAGGACTCCGAACAATCTTCGGTCACCAAAACACATAACTCATAATACAAATCGTCATCGAACATTAACGTGCTGACCCTACGGGTTCGAGAACTATGTAGACATGACCGAGACATATATCCGGTCAATAACCAATAGCAGAACTTGGATGCTCATATTGGTTCCTACATATTCTACAAAGATCTTTATCGGTCAAAGCGCAATGACAACATACGCCATTCCCTTTGTCATCGGTATGTTACTTGCCCGAGATTTGATCGTCATTATCTTCATACCTAGTTCAATCTCTTTACCGGCAAGTATCTTTACTCGTTCCATAATACATCATCCCGCAACTAACTCATTAGTTACATTGCTTGCAAGGCTTAGCATGATGTGTATTACCGAGAGGGCCGAGAGATACCTCTCCGATACTTGGAGTGACAAATCCTAATCTCGATCTATGCCAACCCAACAAACACCTTCGGAGATACCTGTAGAACATCTTTATAACCACCCAGTTACGTTGTGACGTTTGATAGCACACGAAGTATTCATCCGGTATTCGGGAGTTGCATAATCTCATAGTCAAAGGAATATGTATAAATCATGAAGAAAGCAATAGCAATAAAACTTAACGACCATTATGCTAAGCTATCATATGGGTCTTGTCCATCACATCATTCTCCTAATGATGTGATCCCGTTCATCAAATGACAACACATGTCTATGGTTAGGAAACTTAACAATCTTTGATTAACGAGCTAGTCTAGTAGAGACATACTAGGGACACTATGTTTTGTCTATGTATTCACACATGTATCAAGTTTCCGGTTTAATAAAATTCTAGGATGAATAATAAACATTTATCGTGATACAAGGAAATATAAATAACAACTTTATTATTGTCTCTAGGGCATATTTCCTTCAGCTAAGACCTGAAGTGAATGAACCCTTACTGCTGCTGCTGATGTTGATACGTCTGTAGCTGCTCACACGTGTAAGAATAATTATTTTTCATGGCGTAACCTAAGATACCCATGGTGAATCATTTTCCTGTTTGAGATTCAATAGGTGAAATGTGAAAGAACGTGCGGTGAGCATAGCAATCATTTTTGGTAGAGAGAAACCTAACAAATTCTAGATGCAACTGTCAGGTATGTTGTGGAAAATGTGAGCTGCTACACAATGAAGATGATGCAGAATCGAACAAACAGACGGGCCTGATTGATGGTGAACTAGACGTGGAGCTGCATTTCTGGTCAACTGACAGACGAGTGTGCTATCACGAATTGCGTGGACATGGCGTGAGTGAGATCATGTGGCGAGGCATTGCCATGGACAGGTGGGCTCAATTTTATCCTTTTCTCCGATTATCAGGTGGGTAAATTATTGCAACCTTTTGGGAGGGAGGGAGAGAGACGGGCTGCTGCTCGCCTGCTCTTTTTCAAGCCGACAGCTATCTTCGTCGCCGTCTCTGCGTAGTGGTCTTCCGCTCATTGTACACATTGACTGAGTTTAGTAAGGCTGGCAGTGGCACGAACATGGTTTTGGTAGGCTGATGTTGATGTGCGCTCTTTTTTTCTCTTTTGCGTTGAAGTTTTTTTTTTTTGATAAAAAGACTGTAAGGGAACCCCCTACAGTATATTGGTGCAACAACCCCAAATTGCAAGTACCATGCCTTGAACCTGGGTGGGTGGGAAGGCATCAACCCCTTCCCACCACTTCCTTAGTCTGCCTTTTGCGTTGAAGTTGTGGTGTGCCCTATTGAACTTTCTTTTTGTGAAAGGCATTTTCAGTGCGATAGCTGCTTGTTGCGTCTGCCAGTGAATAGTGACTGACTAACGTTTTTGTGTGTGTTAGCCTCTTCTCCAAGAGGCCGACGACTAATTTATTCTGTATTCTAGAAACATTTTTTATGCCTCTCCATTTATTCCGTGTGGGATCATAAAGTCTTACATTGGAGTTTCATATGCTAACATTTGTGTTTCATTGTACAACTAAACTAAGAACTCCCACAGACTGAGGATAACACACGGATAACCTGGAAATCGAACACATCCAAAGATGTGTTGAAACTATGGTCGTGAAAAAACCTTTGAGAAAGGGAAAAAAATAGTCGAGCATACACCAAAAAGAGCAATCATGTCCTCATTCTGGGCAAAAACTTCTGAATTGTTCGTCAGAAAAAATGGTCACATGAACCACCTACAGCGTTCCTACTCTCAGAGACCTGAACCTGAACTAGAAGAAGAGGGTCACAAGGAGCGGTTGATGAGGCCACGCACCACGACCATACCCAGGGCGAGCAGGTGATCCATTTCCGGCGCCACCATCAGCGTCAGCACGTCCTCGCCCAGCACCACCCCCGCCGCCGTCTGCTTCGGGGCCACCTCCGCCACGGCCGCGCCATCGACGCCGCGGACTTTGTACTCCGTCTTGCGGGCAGGGCACCCGTCCATCCTGTAGCAGGTCCTCGCGCCGCCGTGCATCGCAACGGCGGCCTCGCCCTTCTTGGCCCGCCGCACGGTGAACCACGGTGTCGCCTCCTCCCCCTGCTCATACCGGCAGACCTCCCACCTCCTGAACATGCCGAAGCCCTTGCGTCTGATCCTGATGAGGGCGTTGCCGCCGCGGTCCATGAAGAAGACCTCGCGGCCGCCCCTGCAGCCGTAGTTGTCGACGCGGAAGGCAACGCTGCCATCGGGGCCGTACACCGCGCAGCCGTTGCCGTTGAAGACCAACGACTTCATCCACACCGTGTACGCCTGCTTGCCCCGCTGGCCCTGGCAGTGATCATCGGAGGACGGCGGCGATGGGGCCGCAGGGAGGGGCTGGATCTTGGCCATTGAAGAGAGAACGAAGAAGAAGAAGATTGCTCTGCTCGGCTCGGCTCTGCTGCTGCTGTTTGGCCTATTTATTCAGGATGTGCTCTGGAGTAGACTACTCATCTACTAGTACTGTAGTACGAGTGAGCATGCGATTAGCAACACCATTAGTGATTCATCCAATAGTTGAAACATGGATATAATTAAACCACAATGTAATGCAATGCTGAACATGTGTGTGTGTGTGAGATCAAATTTAAAAATGGATGATCGAAAGGTACTATTTGGACCCATATATGTCAGAAAATAGATTGTTCTGTTTGCCGAGTAGAAAGAAAGCATGCATGTAGCCATGTACGTTTGCTCATGGAAGGATAGGTACTTCCACCTAATTAATCAATTATTATGCAGTCGGGCCAGTTCACTTTTCTCTCGTTTTCCTTGTCTCATGTCAGGCCAGCGATCGACCCTCAACTTTGTTTACAGCACCACTTTAAATCCACACATGATACCAAGCTAATATAGCTATCATTTCTCGTATATTTTGGAAACCCATAATACTCAAATCTTGATCTGGGAGAAGTAAAAGATATTCCAATATCGCCTCTCCAGCACGATAAACCTTGCAGGCTTTGTTAATAATCTCGTCCATCCCAAGCCTCTTCCAAACCTCACTTGCTTTACTACATAGGAACAACATGTGTTTCGTATCTTCTAGACCCTGAGGGAAAGTAGGGCATATGGGCGAGACCTTCATGTGTCTATTAGCAAGTGTTACTCGACATGGGTGGGTGCCATGTAAAGTATGCCATATAAATTTTTTGATTTTTGCCGGACAAGCTAACTTCCATATCTTACACCATACAGGGGTAGTGGTAGTTCGTCCCATCCCGATAGAATATGTTAGTTTACTTCCATACTGATAATTACTCCACATAATAAGCAGACCATACCGGAAACAACCCATTTTTTGTATTACTCCAAGCAATGAAATCTGCCATATCATGTTGCGAAGTGGGATTGAAAGAATCCGTTGTGCGTCGATGGGCCACATAGTTTGTCTAATCAGGGCCTCATCCCATTTACTGGAGACAGGGTCAATCAAATCAACCACTTTTGATAACAATTGTCGCCCCTCAGGGGTCACAACTTTCCTGGTGGAAGTGCCTTCCTTTTCTTTTTTCCCTTTTCAGTGCTGAATTTCCCCGCTCAACTGTGACCCCCCAAGCTCCTATTCACCACGAAAGTGTTTTCATATAGATCAAGTTGGGCCTGGAGCCACATGTTGGCACTCAGTTCCGTCCTCTTTGCACATGTGTTAATATATGTGGATGCTAGTACTAGTCAAAGGAAATTTTCCATGGGACCATTCAGATTGCAAAGTATTGGACTTTCATGTAACGTTGTTGTTTACACGAGTACACAATTTTTAATGTGCAAGGAAGCAGGCCTCAATGAAGTATTTAAGTTCTTCATGCAACAGTCATGCCATTTTTTTCTCTGAAGGAAAACAGTCAGTGTCATTTTCAACCAGACAGGCCAGTTCCGTTGTCTCTTGTTTTCCATGAAGTGTTCAGGACCGTGGGGCGACAAACTTAAGTTTTTGTGTCCCCCCTTGTCTCATGTCAGGCCCTCAACCTTGTTTTGTTTACAGAAACATCACTTTATATACGCACACTGCAGAACTGCATAATGATAAGAAGCTGTGATATTGAGTTTACTCATGCTCTTGCTGGATTATTAGGAAACCTGCCTCCAACTCCGATAGAAAATGGATATGCTGAGACTCCGAGTATATAAAACTGAGAGATCAGCTACCACAAATTAATTAGCTTCGAACTCACAAGGACAATGCTGCTGTGTTAAACAAAGCTAGGCCTACCATAAAACTGGATGGTTGGGACTTGGGAGGGAAGTTTGTGCAGACCAGCAGCTAGGAGTACAACCCTGCTAATAATGCAGCGTAAACTATATCGTCGCAACGGGAGATCGACTTCTGAGGAATCAGTAGCGATCTCCATATTATTCTTCCGAGCGCGTAAAATCCGTGTGTACACATGATACCTACCATATATTGTAAAACTGATCGAGCCTCGAGGTGTGGACGATGGATAACTCAGTGCTTTCTTTCTTTGCGCGTTTATGGTATGATATGAGTTGTCTAAGTGTGGAGCAGCTGAACTAGCTAGCCAGTACAACAGACAGAGAGGAAGCCTCAGTTTAAGAACGGGTATTGCACATACCTGCTAGAAAGAAAGGCTCCGGGAGCTTAGTAGATACACACACGTGTGTGAGTACACATCACATCGTGGAAACTAAAGCAAGATAAAAGGGAGAACACATTTTAGGGGCGGCCCATTTTAGTCAAGGACCTTCATCTAAACCATACTCTTGACGCCTAGTACAAATAATATTTTGATCCTCCCTACAAAATAGATAAAGAATGGCGGATTCAAATTTTGAATAGCGGGGCCGGAGTTGTTAGTTTTGCACATGTCATACATGTTTGAGTTTGAATATGGAAATTTGACAGTTGAACTCATATATGGATATTTTGAAAATTTGGTTTGTCTTTGTGTATAAACTTTTTGGAAAAGTTTTTTTTAGTCAGTAAGATATGTGGTGCTCGAGAGCCAAAGGGAGTCAGCGGAGTGGATGTCCAAGTGCCTTCCTTTTCCTGCTTCCCTTTTTCTAAGTTAGTACTGAATTTCCTCACTCAAGTCCTTTTCGCCACAAAAGTTTCCATACAGACCAAGTTAGTCCTCGAGCCACATGTTCCCACTCATTTCCGTCCTCTTTGCCCATGTGTTAGTATACGTGGATGCTTGTGCCAGTCAGAGAAAATTTTCCTTGGGACCAGCGAGATTGTAAAGCATTGGACTTTCATGTAACGTTGCTGTTTACACAAGTAGACACATTTTAATGTGCGAGGCGGCAAGCTTATTGGTCAATACAGTATTTTAAGTTCTCCATTCAACAGTCATGTCATTTTCAAGCATAGACATTTACCGGTGTATTGCACTAAGGCTTGTAATTGTTTTAATAGTTAGTGATAGTTCTAACATAGGCGGAGCTAGGTACAATACAACCATCCAATTTGTTACACTAGACACCTAACATGGTGAAGTCCCTGTGTCCTGCATTCCAATTTATCATGTAAGTTTGGAGGAAACAATTAATCATACAATTCTTACAAACTAATCTTTTATATAAGAGTATATAATGACCACCTTTTGGTTACAACTGCGCACAACGGGGTTACATTTTGAGATAGAGGGAGTACAAATATTATACTTGACAACATATGTACTTCTGAACATGCTTATGATAGGATGACGGAAAGAAAAATTATCTCTAAAACTAGCATACATAAATAAGTGTAGTTCATGCAATCGAGCATAAGGATTTGCAATTTGTTCAATACCTAGATGATTTTAGAGTGGAATGTGCTATCATTGTCTTTCCAATGTAGTTAATTTGTTCCACGGATTCTTCAAGTGAAACTAGTTGGTTGTGAAATTTAGCCTTTCTTGACAAAATACAAGTTGCTTGGAAATTTAATCAGCTATTAGCACATTTCACGCTCTTGATGACCCTCTAAATATATTCTAAATACAAGCAAAGAGGGTATCCAGCAGTGCAGACTCCACTTAGAAGCAAAGAGGGTATTCATAAACAATGTAGTAATGTCTATGCTTTAGACCCTGAAGTGAACATTTCAGGTTGTACCAGCTTAGAAGAAAAGCCCGGCACGGAAGATTATGAGATTCATGAGAACTCCCATATAGTTTCTCAACCCAGCAAGACTAATGTTTCTTCCACTTATGAGCTTCCAATGTCCTTTCCATTGAGTCCAACATGTTAAATTGTGCCCGTTTAGTTGTCTACTGATGTTACCATACTTGTAAGTTTGTATGATGGAAAATTGTGCATGTCAAACTATGAAAAAAAACTGTAAGGCTAAGAGATCCTATCTCCATTGGGAATTTTAAAAAGAAGTTATAATTTGCTCGTTAGTTGTGATCGGGCCATTTATTTTCAGTCCCAGGCCAATTGTAGTATTTTCTTCCTAGCAGCTATTGCTACATTTGAGCTTTGAGTACTTTGTTAGATGATGGTGTAATTTTTGCAGCATTCTTGTTTATATTTTGTGCAGTTAATTTTGTTCTCCGGTTGCCAGCACTCGACGAATAAGGCGAACTGGAGGTGGAGGTAGTGGTTTATGGCATCAGCGACTTGGAGTCCAAGTGAATTAGCAGTTTATTTCAGAGACCGCTAGCTTGACAATTGTGTTCAATCGGCTCGCGAGGGATCAGGAGATGGTGATATGAGGAGGCTTTTGTCTTTTATGTGAATATATCCTAAGCTTTTCGGTAGCTGTCTGACCGCCCGTGTTTCCTGGTAGTGACGAAGCACGAAAGGATGTGTGCGAGAACCATATTGTAAACTTTGAGCCATGCTGAGACCTGAAATGAATGAATCATGCTCCTCCTGCTGCTGATGTTGATACGTCTGCAGCTGTTCATATAGTGTAACAATAAAAAAAATCATGGTGCAAGATAAGATATCCATGGTGAATCATTTTATTAAATAGATGAAATGTGAAAGAAGGAGAGGTGGGTATAGCAAGCCTTTTTGATAGAGGGAAACCTAACAAATTCTGGATGCAACTGTTCAGGTCTGTTGTGGAAAATGTGAGCAGCTACAAAATGAAGATGATGCAGAGTCAATCAGGTCTATTTTTGTTTGTTAAAAAAGAATATCAGCAAAAATCTTGATGAAATGGACGGGCCGTATCGATGGTTTGAGAAGGTCAGAGTTTGAGATGGTCAACTGGCAGATGAGTGTGCTGTCGCCAATTGAGTGGAAATGGCGTGAGCGATATCATGTGGCCAGGCACCGCCATGGGCAACTGGGCTCATTTTTCTCTTTTTCTCCGGTTATAGGCTCAAGTTCATATTGGCCACCACTTGTCACGTATTGTACATCTGAGCCGGTGAATTATTCCAACCTTTTGAGAG